GCCTTGCCAACATAGTGAAACCCATCTCTACTAAAAATACAAAAATATTAGTTGGGCATGATGGTGCATGCCTATAGTCCAAGCTACTCCAGAGGCTAAGGCAGGAGAATTGCTGAAACGCAGGAGGTAGAAGTTGCAATGAGCCAAGATCCTGCCACTGCACTCCAGCCTGGGTGAAAGAGAAAGACTCCATATCAAAAAAAAAAAGAAAGAAAAATATAGAAAAAGCTAAGATTTGCTAAAGGTGGTGTGCGAACATGGTGGTTAACCTAATAGTTTCTCTACTCTTATACATATTTCAAATATTTTTATATTTTTTAAGTTTTAAAGCAGTTTTTTTGATAAAACAACTTACAATTCCACTTTGCTAATCTTCATCATCTATTTGGCTGACAGTGCAAAGGACCTCAATTCAGTGGTCGTGCATGGTATTCATCTTATTTCCCATGCCTAGCACAGTGCCTGACTCATAAAAGCTGATCAATGAATGATGGATGATCAAATGAATTTCCTAAAATGAGTCAAAAATTCAAAAATCGGTTATACGTCCAAAAATTGTACTTCAGCTTTACTGGACTCAGGACTTGTCAATCAGTTCATGTTTATTACTGTCACTCAGCTACAGAATCACAATGAAAACTAAAATTTACTGAGCTTACTCTGTTCCAGGCATTGGTCAAACTGCTGCATACATTTTAACTATTTAATTCTCCCAGAGCCCCTAAGAAGGTAATTCTATATTTTAAGAACAGTGAACTCTAAAAATCCTAGTGGTAGCTAGGTGTGGTGGCTCACACCTATAATCCCAGCACTTTGGGAGGCCGAGGCAGGTGGATCACAAGGTCGGGAGCTCGAGACCAGCCTGGCCAATATGGTGAAACCCCATCTCTACTAAAAATACAAAAATTAGCCAGGCGTGGTGGCACGTACCTGTAGTCCCAGCTACTTGGGGGCCTGAGGCAGGGGAATCGCTTGAACCCAGGAGGCGGAGGTTGCAGTGAGCTGAGATCGGGCCACTGCACTCCAGCCTGGGCGACAGAGCGAGACTCTGTCTCAAAACACACACACACACACACACACACACACCAAAAAACAATCCTGGTGGGAAGGTTTTTTTGCTTTGTTTTTGTCTCACTCTGTCACCCATGCTGGAGTGCAGTGGCACGATCACTGCTCATTGCAGCAAACTCCTGGGCTAAAGCACAATCCTCCTGCCTCAGACTCTCAAGATACTGGGATTACAGATGTGAGCCACGGTGCCTGGCTGGTGATAAATTTCATAATCAATAGCACTGAGATTTAAACCTAACAGTTATCCTTTTACAACTTCATTATTGCAGACTACTTAATCACTTTTTTCCTTCATAAGACAATGGTCGTCTAATCAAACTCTAACATTAACATTAAAATGTCTTTTCTTTGACATCAAGGTTCAACAGGTCTTTGCTCTTTGCACAAAAGTAGCCTTTCATATTTAAACCAGAAATGATTCTTTATGCAGCTCTTAAAATATATTGATAAATAATCATGCATTCAAACATAATAAGTCATTTAGGACTGTAATTAGTCATTGTCAAGTCCTGGCAAACAGCAGGATTCTAATTGGAAAGCAGTGTTTGCCCTACTTGTGCCTCAATGAAACTTCCAGAGAAGGGCAGCACGTGCTTCTTAATCTGTTTTTATAACAGCTAGTAGCAAATCAATGAAGATGAGGCTGGTGGCTATGATAAATTAATATGCACACTGACAACTTATAACTGCGCAATTGCTTAGGGAATTACTATGTGACTATATCCAAGTAATTATATGTTTTAAATGATTTATCTCAATTTGTTAACAATACACCCCTAAAATGGAAATAAAAAGAGAGAAAATGCAAATAGCATGTTATATCAACTTTATGTTGAACTTATTAAGAGGTTGCCCTTTTAATGAAGAACTTGATGAATTAGGAGGTTTGTTATGAATAAGCATTCTTACTACTTGTTAAGTATTTGTCACCACAGACCTGTCATAGTCATTCTAATTATGATTAATACCTTATCTTGAATTCCATCTTCATTCACATTTCAGTAACAAATGTAACTCCTATTATATGATCAAGGTTCGTGAAAACAGGATGATTTGCCTATGACCTTATATTTTATTCATTTTTACATTCATATTTAACAGATTTCTCTGAAATGAAAGTTGACCTTATGAATCTTTTAATTTTTAAAGTGCATTTTATCCTTGTCATGCCTTGCAACCCTTTAAACTGTTTCAAATATGGTTGTGTATTCAAGATAAATGAAAATCCTAACATTTTGTTTATCCTCATGTATAACTAGAAGCTGCTACTTTGAGACATTCTTTTAAAATATTTTTTGTGTACTATGGAAAGAACTAGTTTAATTCTCTCAAGCATTGCTAATACTCTCAATATGGAAGACACAGGTTTATGAAGTTCAAAAAATCATAGCAAGAGAGGAGGGTCAGATTTTCAAAGCAGTTCGTACATAAATTGTGGTAAATATGGAGGTTTTGGTTGTTTTTTTAAGTGGTATAACGCACGCTCCATATCACAGTATCTTATGTTATATACCCCTTCCTTCGTAGTTCTATCTTATCTAATGAAGAAATCATCTTTTGAGCTCTTCTACTTACTTTTTCTCTTTCCTTCTCCTTTATCTTTATTTCTGTTCCTCCTTTATTCCCCCCTCTGCTAATCTTTGCTCCGTCTTTATTTTATTGCCTTCTCCTCTGCAATTCTCCTTTGTCCCCATTCTCTTTGGATATACTTTATATTCTGACCATTTCATGCGCCTCTGTCCTGTTTCTCTCTCACACTTTCTTCTCTACCTCATTCATCTCCTCCAGGGGAATCAAAAGGAGGGCTGTAAGCATTTGATTTTGCGTTTTTAAGGGTCCTTGATTACTTATATTACCAAGTGTTAAAAGCTCTGAAAGGAAATAAAAACAAGATTACTTCTTTTTTCCTGCGCTTTTTATTAGACTGTCTAAGAGAGACTCTCTATGAGAGCTGAAAGTGCTGTATTAACTAATAAGCTCACTGACATCACCAAAAAAATTAAGCCAATTAATTTTAGGCAATAATAAGAATAATGATAGTAACAATGGATTACAAGAAAACCAGATCATTTATCAAACATGAAGTCTGCTCTCTGAAGGGCCGGATATCAATGAGGGGCAGCTTCTTTAAGGAAAGAAGCTCTCTGGTCCCCAGAGCCACTGGATCCTTCTCAATCTCTGGTGTTGATGAGGAACACTCCACACTCAACATCATCTAGGCATTTCTGGTAAGCCAGGTAGCAGGAGCAAAGTGTATGCAAATCAGAGAAATGAACCCTCTCCTGAGGTCTTCCAAATCACTCAATTCTTGAAGCAATTAGCAGGTAGTCTATTTCCCCTTAAACTAGATGCATTTACATTTTCTTCATCATTTGAAGCATGTCTTCACACATTTCACGTTCTCCATTATACGCAGAGGTAAGTACTATGCACTTATTGTCAAATCCAGTGGAATAAAGTCAAACACTTGTGGTATGCAATATTCTAATGTTGTAAAGATTTAATGAGTTTTTCCTTAAAATAACACCACAAAACAGACTACATTTTAATTACATTTTCTCAGAGGTATCTGGGGGAAGACGTGTCATGTGTTTAAGAGTGTTTAATGTACTTAAAAATTATATCTTCTAGCAGTCTCCAGTACTGATTTAATAGGTCTGGTCTTTTGAAATGAATCCTATATCATATTTATGATGATGTCTTATTCGAGAATGAAACTAAATCTAATGAGAGGCAATTCCTTTGATGAGAGTGACAGTTACATCACTTGAACTAACACATGCACAAATATCTCTCCTATTGACAATAAACTAGTCGCTTTGGAAATAAATTTAATGTTTTAATCTCAAGTTTTCAGTTGTCATTTATGAAGAGGCCAGGACTAACTTAGGTGTACCCCAAATCATGTAAAACCAAGAGGAAACAGAATATCAAAAGCCAGAGATAAACTCGAATTTTTCACTAACCATCATTTCAATTTCTCTAAACACCAAATCTTTTCTCTAAATTCAAGTAAGTGAAGAGAAGTAGTAAATATGGAGCCTGTAGTACAAGGCAGACTATCTTACAACTTAACTCCTTTTTTCCACCTGCAGTTCCATGCATGATCTCCGTTTTTAAAATCTTTTTGATACTTCTATAAATCCTCTGTAGTAAAAGCTAATAAGTATTGAAATGGCTAATGTTCCAAAGGCAAGAAGACATGGCAAAGTCCTAAATAAATTAACATGCATAACTGGGAATAGATTATGTAAAATGTTAATAAATGTGAATATATAACAACTAAAAAGCCTACATTGGAATAAATCAGTTCTAACTTGAGTTACAAGAATGACTCAGGTACATACAAGCATTAATTTTTGTAAAAAAAATTGCTCATTATATGGCAAAACTTTATTTCTTAGTTGATCTTTTCCTTTTAGAATAAAAAGAAATTTTATTAGAATTAAATTAGAACTTTATTAATTTTCCTATTAGAATAAAAATTAGAACTTTATTAATTTTCATTCTTCTTTCAGAATAAAACAGGATTTAATGCTGTGTAGTCTAGATCTTTGAATGCTTAATAATTTAAAAACTTAAAAGAGACACTTTTTTTGAGGAAAAGGTAATGGGAAACACGACTCACAGCTCCAGCTTTGCTAAACTGACACAGTACAACACCATCGGAGTTGGTAAAATATGTATTGGTCAATAAATAATGTTAAGACTACTGGCCTAGCAGATTAAAAAAAAATCTAAATCCTTACTTAATTTCTAATATTACTATAAATTCTAGATGAATATGTTGAATCACGACAAAAAAATATGTTCCCCCTAGCTCTTAGGTTCTTTTGTTTGGAAGTGGAGTTTCAAATCGTCTTTAAAAAAAAAATTTTTTTTTGCCCGTCCCATCCCGTCCGGCCCCGTCCTGCCTCCGCGCCCGCCAGCCGCGAGCTCCACGCAGTTCAACAAGGGCCCCTTGTACAGGCTGTCGGCGGAGGTCAAGAACCCGCTCCTGTCCAAGTATGACCCTCAGAAGAAGGCAGAACTCCGAAGCTGGATCGAGGGACTCACCCATCTCTCCATCGGCCCCAACTTCCAGAAGGGCCTGAAGGACGGGATTATCTTATGCACATTCATGAACAAGCTACTGCCAGGCTCAGTCCCCAAGATCAACCGCTCCATGCAGAACTGGCACCAGCTAGAAAACCTTTCCAACTTCATCAAGGCCATAGTCAGCTACGGCATGAACCCCATGGACCTGTTCGAGGCCAACGGCCTGTTTGAGAGCGGGAACATGACGCAGGCCAAGACTAAGGGGCTGCAGAGTGGGGTGGGCATCGGCGTCAAGTACTGGGAGAAGCAGGAGCGGAACTTCGACGACGCCACCATGAAGACCGGCCAGTGCGTCATCGGGCTGCAGATGGGCACCAACAAATGCGCCAGCCAGTCAGGCATGACCGCGTATGGCACGAGGAGGCATCTCTACGACCCCAAGAACCACATCCTGACCCCCATGGACCACTCGACCATCAGCCTCCAGATGGGCACCAACAAGTGTGCCAGCCATGTGGGCATGACGGCTCCAGGGATGCGGCGGCACATCTATGACACCAAACTGGGAACCGACAAGTGTGATAACTGCTCCATGTCCCTGCAGATGGGCTACATGCAGGGCGCCAACCAGAGCGGCCAGGTCTTGGCCTGGGCCGGCAGATATACGACCCCAAGTACTGCCCGCAAGGCACAGTGGCTGACGGGGCTCCCTCCGATGCTGGCGACTGCCCGGGCCCCGGGGAGGTCCCTGAATATCCCCCTTACCACCAGGAGGAGGCGGACTACTAAGGCTCTCAGCGCGCTCGCTCCCCACGTGGTCTCCCTGTCTGGCTTTCTGGGGTTTTCTGGGTTTTCATCTTTATTTTTTTGAGACAGAGTTTCGCTGTTGTTTCCCAGGCTGGAGTGCAATGTCGCGATCTCGGCTCACCGCAACCTCCGCCTCCTGGGTTTAGGCAATTCTCCTGCCTCAGCCTCCCAAGTAGCTGGGACTATAGGCGTGCACCATCACCCCAGCTAATTTTGTATTTTTAGTAGAGACGGGGTTTCACCATGTTGACCAGGATGGTCTTGATCTCTTGACCTGGTGATCCGCCTGCTTCGGCCTCCCAGAGTGCTGGGATTGCAGGTTTGAGCCACCGCGCCCGGCCCTGTGTTTTCATCTTTTTAAAATTAACCTGTTCAGTGCTGCCCATCAGCCGAGGGTCTCTGTGAAAGCCAGGGCTTTCTCCTCCTTGCCTTGGTCCTTCATAGGACTGAGGTACCGGGCTGGGCGGGGGGAAGGGATCAAGGCCGTATCCTGATATTTGTAGGGTTAGGGACCCTGCTGGCACGTCCAGGCTGTGGGCCGAGCTGTGCTGGGGAGAAGAGGCCTGGGCTTGGAGGGAACCGGTCCCCGAAGTTTTCCAGTTGCCTCGTCTCTTCTCACTTTTGTCATCCGATCAGTTTGTGGTTTCTGTACCCGCAAAAGTTTCAGGAAGTAGTAACAACAACAACAAAAATACTTTTTGTTTCCCCACCCAAGAAATGGGGCGGGGACAGTGGGAAGGGTGCTGGGCAATGAGTCCCCCGGAAAGGGGTCCAGGCCACTATGCTGAATGTCTCAGGCGCCCAAGTGGCTGGATTTCCCTCAGACCCTCAGACCTGCCCTGGGGCCGGGTGGGGAAAGTGAGGCCCGTACAAGGACGCAGAATTCTGAGTTGTTGGGGCCAAGCCTGACCCCGTCTCCATGCTACCCCGCCCTCCCGGAAGCCTCAGTGGGTTTTCTTCAGTTGTTGTTATTGCACAGGCTGGAGTGCCATCCGGCAATCTTCACTCACAGCACCTCCACCTCCTGAGCTCAACGGATTCCCCTGCCTCCGCCTCCCAAGTAGCTGGGACTGCAGGTGCTCCACCACGCTACTTTTTGTGTTTTTGGTAGAGACAGGGTTTCACCATGGTGGCCAGGCTGGTCTTGAACTCCTGGCCTCAGGTGATCCCCCTGCCTCGGCCTCCCCACATGCTAGGATTACAGGTATGAGCCACTGTGCCTGGCCCCTCAGTAGGTTTACAGAAGCCCCAGCCCTCCTCCTCCCCTTCTGAGACTGACCAGCTCTGCTGCTCCATCTCCTCAGGCAACACACCCCGCCAAGTACTGCACAGGAACTCTCACCCAGGGGCCCTGCTCCATGAGATCATGTGAAACCCAACTGTGGACCAAATGCAGTAAAACCTGTTTGTAAAAAGAAGGAAAAAATTCTATAAAGATTTTAATAAAAATGCAGAAAACATTAAATAAAAGATGGCTTTTATCTGATCCAAATACAAGCCGGACTTTTCTCATTCATCTATGTATACTATAGACATGTATATTTTGGCAAGTTTTATTCAGCCTACAAACTTCTTACCAGAGGAAACAAAAAAAACTCTTACCTACTAAATAACCCGCATACCTTGATGCAACTCTGCTAAGAGGGAGTGTGATTTGCTTACTTCTGATATTGAGGCTGTCATGGTGAAAACTTTTGGTTCTTTGCCATTTTTCTCAAAACCCACAGAACCCCTTAATAAGATTTTGACTTTATAGAATGGGAGGGGCCAGCCTCCTGAGACTAGAACCTACAAGATGGTTACCATTGTGCTGTCTTTTTAAAAGATGCGAAAATGTTGACCTGCCAAAAAATCAGATTTTTAAAATATGAGATGAAAAGAATGTACTTCTCTAGTTTGAAAATATGTTGAAGATGACCACTGAGTATAGGATTACAGTATAACAAAAATTTATTTGCTGTTTCTCCAAAACTGGTTGAATTCTCTTTGGAAAGGTCGTAAGAAACCTGGAAAAGAATGAACTGATTATTTCATCGCCTGATTGTTTGATATTATGTGTAGGTTGTGACAAAAACTCATACAGTAAGAAAAAAACAAGTAACGTATCTTGGCTACTATGAGTAATGTTGCAATGAACATGGGGATGCGGATGTTTCCTCGAGGTAGTGACTTCCTTTCCTTTGGATATATACCCAGAAGTGGGGTTACTGGATTATAAATAAGGTAATTCTATTTCTAGTTTTTTGAGAAACTGCTGAACCAGTTTACATTCCTGCCAACAGTGTACAAGGGTTCTTTGTTCCTCCACACCCTCACCGACACTTACCTCTTGACTTTTTGATAATAGACATTCTAACAGATGTGAGGTGACATCTTGCTGTGGTTTTTGATTTGCATTTCCCTGATAATTAGTGATGTCAAGTACCTTCTCACATACCTGTTGGCCATTTGTATCTTCTTTGGAAAAATGTCTATTCAAGTCGGTTGACCATTTTTTAATTGGGTTATTTGGCTTTTTTTGCTATTGAATTGTGTGCAATCCCGATATATTTATTTTATTTTATTGAAACAGAATTTTGCTCATTGCCTAGGCTGGAGTACAATGGCATGATTTTGGCTCACTGCAACCTCCGCCTCCTGGATTCAAGTGATTCAGCTGCCTCAGCCTCCCAAGTAGCTGGGATTATGGGTGCCCACCACCACGTCCAGCATCCAGCTAATTTTTGCATTTTTAATAGAGACAGGGTTTCACCATGTTGGTTAGGCTGGTCTCGAAGTCCTGACCTGAAGTGATCTGCCTGCCTCGTCATCCCAAAGTGCTGAGATTACAGGCATGAGCCACCACGCCTGGCTTCCTGATATATTTTGGACATTAACCCCTTGTCAGATATATGGTTTTCAAATATTTTTCTCCCATTTGGCAGGTTGCCTTTTCATTTTGTTGATTGTTACCTTTGCTGTGTAAAAGCTTTTTAGGTTGATGTCAAATCTACTTCCAATTTTACAAGTTCAAAAATTTTCCCTTAACTAATCATGACATTTAATGTGAGTTTGAAAATCATGGTATTTTAGACATGGGTAGTCTATAATGAAGTTATAGCTGCAATGCAGCTGCTTGACAATGCGCTGGTGCATCAGAACAAGCCTGTGGATGCAGAACAGATGGGCATTTTTAGAGCACCACAGGTCCAAATTCTGCTGTTGCTAGTAAGTAAAATCCTAAGTGTTTCGTGTGCAAATGAACACAGGCATTTTTGTTGAGAGGATAGTTAGCTTAATTGACATCACATTGGACTGACACCAGGAATCAGTGTAATATGGGTTTGATAAAAGCAGAACTGCAAGTCAAACTGAATCATACTTTTGCCTGTATCCAGTTTTACTACTACATAAAAGAACAAAAAGTCCAGGTACAGTGGCTCACTCCTGTAATTCCAGCACTGTGAGAGGTGGAGGCAGGCAGATTGCTTGAGGTCAGGAGTTTGAGACCAGCCTGGCCAACATGGTGAACCCCATCTCTACTAAAAATACAAAAATTAGCCAGGCATAGTGGTGCAAGCCTGTAATCCCAACCACTCAGGAGGCTGAGGCAGGAGAATCACTTGAACCCAGGAGGTAGAGGTTGCCGTGAGCCGAGACCATGCCACTGCACTGCAACCTGGGCAACAGAGCAAGACTCCATCTCAAAAAAAAAAATGCATACAAATATAACCTGAAATATTGAACAGTCCAATAAAACATTTAAAAAGAGTTCAAATAAATCGCTGTATCAGAGGACAGAAACATTATGAAATATTGCTATGTTTTCTCATACATATTGCTAATTTTATTAATCCTACTATTAATCACTTCTAACTGCCACTGCTATCTAGGCTTATTGGTGTTTTGTTTAAATAATAGCATTTATTTAACATAAAAGTAAATAGTCCAGAACATATAATTTCAAATAAATACCATTTTTCATATTTTATGTTAAAGTAATAACACACTTGAGTATACTTATTCATTATATATTAGATTATTATATTTTGGGTTTCTTTTTTCCAATTCAGTATAGTTGTGTTGCAGGTTGACCCCTAAAAAGTTGGCCCCTCTGGTAGTCAGGGTTCTTACCTGCCAGTTCAGTCTCCCAAAGTGCATGGACCAACACAGAAGGATTCAGGGGAAGCTGGGTCTCCTTTTAGGACCTCACCTTGGAAATCACACATCATTGCTTCCATCATATCCTATTCATTAGAAGCTGCTCACTAAGTCTGGCCCACACTAGGAATGAGAGAACAATTAGACTCTACTTTTTGATGAGGGAAATGTCACAGTATAGGTATACTTTAAAACTACTTCAAATAATGAAGAACATAGTCATTCTCATGCACTTTTGCTAGGCAAACTGGTATATACTTTTTGGAGAGCAACTTGGAACTATCAAAATAAAAATCTATTCTAATTTTAGGAGTTTAGAGTATGGACATACTTGCAAAAATATGCCAAACACGTTAACTAAAGCTTCTTCCACACTTCATTCTGAAAATTTTCGAAACTACAGAAACCTATTGTGGTGGAGGAGAGATGGTCATAAGTTATTCTGCACTCTTCTCGTTGAGATGTGGGCTCCCTTTTTTTCTTGGATCTGAGTTACTGTGACTTCTTGAGCAATCTAAAATGGCCGAAGACTTTAGATTGCTCTAAAATCTAACTAGGAACTCTTTCACGGTTCTGGACTTAGCTTTCAAGAAGATTGGCTTTTTGGGGGATTTCTTGAAGCCCTAAGCTGCCACGTAAGCTCCACTACCCTGGTGAAGAGACTCATGAGAGGCCCTAAGACTACACCAAAGTACCAGGCATGTTTTGGGTTTTCTGAACCAGTTGTCCATCAGCTGTGTGAATATTCAGTCACCAAGTGACTCTAGGTAACGCCACCTAGAGCAGAACCATCATTTAGTGAAAGTCCTCCCAAATTCTTGATCCATAAAATGGTAAAATACAATGAAAGGTGTTTTTTTTTTAAGCCACTAAGCTTCGGGGTAGTTTGGTATGAAGCAATATACAACCATCATTTGGATTTGTTAAATTATATCCTCACAATTACATTAGGGTTAAACATTTGTAATGTACTTTTAATTTTTATGGACACATAATAGTTGTATCTATTTATGGGGTACATGTGATATTTTGATACAAGCATACAATGTGTAATGATAAAATACAGGTAATTGAGATATCCATCACCTCAAACATTTATCATTTCTTTGGGTTGGGAACATTCCAAATCTTCTCTTCTAGTTATTTTGAAATACACAATAAATTATTGTAACTATAGTCACCCTATTGTGTTATTGAACACTAGATCTTATACCTTCTGCCTATTTTTGTGCAGGGTTAAGCATTTTTGATAAGCAAGTACTACATGGCTGACAAAATAGGTACTTTCCATTGCTTCATATGAGAGGCACATAATGTCAGGTTGTCTCATTATTGATAATGTCAAGTTTGATCATTTGATTAAGGTAGAGTGCACATTTCTCTGTTGTGAAGACATACCTTTTTCTTTAAAATCAGTGAGGACTCTGTAGTCTTTCAGATTATGTGGATATGTTGTTTCAAGATTACCTTTCACCACATTGTTTTTAGAATTCATAGATGATCCTTGCCTGACTCAGTTATTACGTAGTGGTGGTACGGTGGTGGTTTGCTAATTCTGTATTTCTTTCTACATTTGTTAGTTGGCATTTTCTCTAAAGAATTTCTTCATTGCCTATCTCTTATTTTTGCTTATTATAATAAACTAAAAGATTGATTTTTAAATGATTGGCTTTGATGCTCAAAATTTTCCATATTTGGCCAACTGGTTCCTGTGTTCGTTCCCTTGAGGTTTGGTGCACTTCCTTCCTCTCAGACTTAAGATATTCCTCTGTAATTTTCCCATCTCGAAATGGAACTAGCCATTTCGACAAAGAATTTTGGTTCCTTTATGTGAGGGAGGTGTGTAGAAGCCACATTCTGGGTTCTAGCTGTACTGATTGCTTTTGGAACTCAATTTTTACTGATACTGCAATTCAAATCCAGCTTCACAGAGTCCCTCATATTCCTCTATTCCATAAGTGTATCCCTATAGCAAGAGACTTGGTTCACAAAATTATCAATTCATTTACTTATTTTCTCTAGCTTGTAAGTAATAATGCTGGAACTTTCTATACACAGAAAGTTCCAGAATTATTCCACTAAAACAACTAACAACCAAGTCAGGTTTGTTTTTTCTTTGTCCTTAAAATATTCTGAGGATTTTCAACCAAGTTCCATGCATAAAAGTTACTTAAATTAATTCTTTCTTCTGTTTGACTATGTTATCAACTTTATGTACAATCTAGTTATATTTGTTTTCAATGTTAGTGATTTTTTCCCCATTTTTAAAATTTGATTTGATTTTAAAATAAGTAAACCACTTACATGGACCAGATATCAAAATTGTATAAAAAGGTAATACTCAAAAACTCTCTCCTTCACTATTCATTCCATTTATTCCCAATTGACCCCTGTAGATAAACATTTTCATTAGTTTCTGTTTTATCTTTTCTTTATTTCTTTTTTAAAACTGAGAAAATATATTGCCCTTTATTTTTACACAAAATGTAGTAAAATTTTTTTTTACTTTTTTTTTTTTTTTTTACTGACTATATCTGGGAAATCATTCCACCTTAATTCACAAATATCTTGTTCATTCTTTTTTATGGCTAGTTGCTAAATATAGTAACTAAAACCAAAATCAGTGCAAACGAAACTGATTAAAACTTACTTTATGGGGTCAACACTGCCTGGATCCAAAATCCGACTCCACTTCTCACAAATTACTCTTTTTAAGGCTTTGTTTCTTCATCTGTAAAATGAAGATGGTACTATTACTTTCCTAAAAGGATAATTATGAAGACTAAATGAGATGGCCCGGTACAGTGCTCACGCCTGTAATCCCAGAACTTTGGAAGGCCAAGGCAGGTGGATCACCTGAGGTCAGGAGTTCAAGACTAGCCTGACCAACATGATGAAACCCCATCTCTACTAAATTAAAAAAAAAATTAGCTGGGTGTGGGGTGTAGTGGCGCATGTCTGTAATCCCAGCTACTTGGGAGGCTGAGGCAGGAGAACTGCTTGAACCCAGGAGGCAGAGGTTACAGTGAGCTGAGATTGCACCATTGCCCTCCAGGCTGAGCAATGAGAAAAACTGTCTCCAAAAAAAAAAAGTTAAATGAGATATGTGTACAGTTTCTAAAAGAGAACCTGGCATAGCTTGGTAGATTCAGGAAATAAAAATACAGAGCACCCAGCCAAATTTGAATTTTGGATAAATAACAGGACATGCATATAATAAAAATATTTGATGCTTATGTGAAATTCACATTTAACTGGCATCTTGCATTTTATCCGGCAACCCTGACTTGGAATGTAGTAAGCACTAAGATGTTATGGGTATTATTATTGTTATTATTTTGATCATGACTCCACATCTCACAAATTACACAATGATATAATTTCTCACAAATTACACAACTGATGTCCATCAGTTGGGGTTTGGTTAACTATGTGATGGAATAAGCAAACCATGTAGCCTTAGGAAGAATGAGATAGATTTATGTGTGCTTTGGGAAGATCCTCAAGGAATATTGAGTGAAAAAGTGAGGCCAGACATAGTGGCTCATGGGCTGGGGACAGTGGTTCACACATATAATCCCAGCACTTTGGTAGGCCGAGGCAGACAGATCATGAGGTCAGGATATTGAGACCATCCTGGCTAATATGGTGAAACCCCCACTCTACTAAAAATTCAAAAATTAGCTGGTGTGGTAGCACACACCTGTAGTCCCAGCTACCTGGGAGGCTGAGGCAGGAGAATCGCTGGAACCAGGGAGACAGAGGTGGCAGTGAGCTGAGATTGCATCACTGCACTCCAGACTGGGAAACAGAAGGAGACTCTGTCTCAAAAAAAAAGAAAGGATTGTTAATGATTTTTGCACATTGATTTTGTATCTTGAGACTCTGCTGAAGTTACTTATCAGCTTAAGAAGCTTGTGGGCTGAGACTAAGGGATTTTCTAGATGTAGGATTATATCATCTGCAAAAAGGGATAGAAATTCCTCAATTGCATAGGAAATAAAAAATTCTTTATTGCTTTGTCTTGCCTGATTGCCTAACCAGGACTTCCAATACTATGTTGAATAGGAGTGGTGAGAGAGGGCATCCTTGTGCCAGTTTCCAAGGGGAATGCTTCCAGCTTTTTCCCTTTCAGTATGATGTTGGCTGTGGGTTTCTCATATGCAGTTTTTATTATTTTGAGGTATTTTCCTTCAATACCTAGTTTGTGGAGAGTTTTTAACATGAATGGATGTTAAATTTTATTGAAAGCATTTTCTGCATCTATTGACACCATCGTGTGGGTTTTGTTTTTCGTTCTGTTTATGTGAGAAATCACATTTATTGATTTGCATATGTTGAAGCAACCTTGCATCCTAGGGATAAAGCCTATTTGATCGTAGAGGATAAGCTTTTTGATGTGCTGCTGGATTCAGTTTGCCTGTATTCGTTGAGGATTTTTGCACTAATGTTCACCAAAGATATTGGTGTAAAGTTTTCTTTTTTTGTTGTATTTGCCAGGTTTTGGTATCAGGATGATGCTGGCCTTATAGAATGAGTTAAGGAGAACTCTCTCCCCTTAATTTTTTGGAATAGTTTCAGTAGAAATGGTACCAAACTCTTCATATATCTGGTAGAATTCACCTGTAAATCCATCTTGTCCTAGCCTTTTTTTGGTTGGTAGGTTATTTACTACTGCCTCAATTTCAGAGCACATTATTGTTTTGTTCAGGGATTCAATTCCCTCCTGGTTCACTCTAGGGAGGGTGTATATGTCCAGGAATTTATCTATTTCTTCTAGATAATCTAGTTTATGTGAATAGAGTTGTTCATAGTATTATCTGATGGTTGTTTGTATTTCTGTGGCGTCAGTGGTAATATTTCCCTTGTTTCTGATTGTGTTTATTTGAATCTTCTCCTTTTTTCTTCTTTATTAGTCTAGCTAGCAGTCTATTTTACTAATTTTTTCAGAAAACCAGCTCATGGATTCATTGATCTTTTGAATGATTTTTCACATCTCAATCTCCTTCAGTTCAGCATTGCTTTTGATTATTTCTTGTCCTGCCAGCTTTGGGATTGGTTTTCTCTTGGTTTTCTAGTCCTTTCAGTTGTGATGTTAGGTTGTTAACTTGAGATCTTTCTAAGTTAGATCTTTTTGATGTGGGCATTTAGTACCATAAATTTCATTCTTCACACTGCCTTAACTGTGTCCCAGTGATATTGGTATGTTATATCTTTGTTCTCATTAATTTCAATGAACTTCTTGATTTCTGCCTTAATTTTGCTATATACACAAAAGTCATTCGAGTAGTTATTCAATTTCCATGTAATCATATGGTTTTGAGTAATTTCTTAGTTTTAATTTCTAATTTGATTGCATTGTGACACTAGAGACTGTTATAATTTCAGTGCTTTTGAATTTGCTAAGGAGTGTTTTGCTTCCAATTATGTGATTGATTTTTAGAGTATATGCCATGTGGCAATGGGAAGAATGTATATACTGTTGTTTAGGGATGAAGAGTTCTGTAGTTGTCTATCGAGTCCACTTGGTCTAGAAGGGAGTTCAGGTCCTAAATATCTCTGTTAATTTTCTATCTCAATGACCTGTCTAATGTTGTCAGTGTGGTGTTAAAGTCTCTCACTTTTATCATGTGGGAGTTTAAGTCTCTTCGAAGCTCTCTAAGAACTTGCTTTATGAATCTGGGTGCTCTGGTGTTTGGTGTGTATATATTTAGGATAGCTAGGTCTTCTTGTTGAATTGAACCTTTTACCATTATATAATGCCTTTCTCTGTCTTTTTTGATCTTTGTTGGTCTAAAGTCTGTTTTGTCAGAAACTAAGATTGCAACCGCTGCTTTTTTCTGTTTTCCATTTGCTTGGTAGATTTTTCTCCATCCCTTTATTTTGAGCCTATGAGTGTCACTGCATGTGAGATGGGTCTTTTGAAGACAGTATACCAATGGTTCTTGGTTCTTTATCCAGCTTGCCACTCTGTGTCTTTTAATTGGGACTTGTAGCCCATTTACATTTTTTTTTTTTGAGATGGAATCTCACTCTGTCACCCAGACTGGAGTGTAGTGGTGCCATCTCAGCTCACTGCAACTTCTGCCTTCCAGGTTCAAGCAATTCTCCTACCTTAGCCTCCTGAGTATCTGAAATCACAAGTACCCACCACAATGTCCGGCTAATTTTTGTATTTTTAGTAGAAACTAGGTTTTGCCATGTTGGCCAGAATGGTCTCAAACTCCTGACCTCAGGTGATCCACCCATGTTGGCTTCCCAAAGTGTTGAGATTACAGGCGTGAACCACAGTGCCTGGCCCTTTATATTTAAGGTTATTATTGATATGTGTGGATTTGATTTTGTCATCATGATGTTAGCTGGTTATTATGCAGAGTTGTTTATGTGGTTGCTTTATATTGTCACTGGTCTCTGTATCTCAATGTGTTTTTGTAGTTGGTGGTAATGGCCTTTCCTTTCTGTATTTAGTGCTTCCTTTAGGAGCTCTTGAAAGGCACTTGCTTGTCTGAAACACATCTTACTTCTCCTTTGCTAGGAGGCTTAGTTTGGCCAGATATGAAATTCTGAGTTGGAATTTCCTTTCTTTTCTTTTCTTTTAATGCTCAGTCTGCTTTTTTTTTTGAGACGGAGTTTCGCTCTTGTTTACCCAGGCTGGAGTGCAATGGCGCGATCTCGGCTCACGGCAACCTCCGCCTCCTGGGTTCAGGCAATTCTCCTGCCTCAGCCTCCCGAGTAGTTGGGATTACAGGCACGCGCCACCATGCCCAGCTAATTTTTTGTGTTTTTAGTAGAGACGGGGTTTCACCATGTTGACCAGGATGGTCTCGATCTTTTGACCTCGTGATCCTCCCGCCTCGGCCTCCCAAAGTGTTGGGATTACAGGCTTGAGCCACTGCGCCCGGCCTCAGTCTGCTTTTTAATGGATACTGCCCACTTGTATGCACCTAACCAAGGTGGGAACAGGAGGGGTCTGGGAAGTAGTGCCACTGGGCCTGGGTGCCGCACAGTCTGCTCCCCAGGGACAGAAACCCATGGGGTTGAGCCCTCCAGGCCTCTCTTTCCAGGAAGGGCCACAACTAGCAGCCGCCTGCCTCCCCAGCCCCAGCAAGGGCATGCAGGCTGGGGAGCACCCAGTGGCCAGGCCCTCAGCTGGGCTGAAGGCAGCACTGAGCCACCTGGAAGTGAGCAGGTCCATGGGGTGGGGGCGGGGTGCAGATGTCCTGGAGGCCAAGCGCCACCCCTCACATGTTGGTGCTCAGCCGGGACTGGCTGTTGGCTAGAGTCAGCTCCCCCTGGCTCCCTTTTCTGGGTGGGGACTTGACATGGATCTGGCTGCGGAGCACGGCTGCCCGCAGCATCATGGCCTTGGCGTGGCGCTGGAACTCCTTGCCCATCAGCAGAGACTTCTCAAAGGTGGTGCTGTGCCACGTCCCAGGCGTACAGGATCTTACTGTGGGAGTCCACACGGTCACTGATCAGTCCCTCCAGGATTAGCTGTGTCAGCTCGTCCTCCAGGGCAGCCACGGTGGTGTTGAAGGCTGCCGCTATCCTGTGCATGTCGGCCGACAAGTAAGGGCTGAAATACTGAATGAGGGCAGGGCTGCGAATCTGGGTGTACAAGGTCCTGACGTGGGGGGCCAGATACATGTCCAGGAGCAGGTTGTCCTTCATCTCATCCTGAGGCACGAGGATCTTGAGGCACGAGTCATACTTGGACTCATAGAATTTGAAGATGATGTCTCGAACCTGCGGCTCCAGCTCCAAGAAGAACTTGAAGGAGCTGTTGTAGATGACATTGCGCGGCAGCTCCTGACAGTCAAAGGTGGCCAAGGCACACAGGCCACCATAGACAGCCACATTGCGGGGGGACAGCAGCTCAGGGAAGTCACAATGATCAAAGAAAGCCAGCAGGAAGCACTTGGCAGCCTGCTTGTACTTCTTTGCGGCGAACTCTGCCAAGCCTGCGGCACACTTGAGCTTGGTGAGGATGGCCTGGGTCTGGCTGTCTCGCTCTCCTCGCTGCTCAGCAATCTCTGGGGTGGACTCGGCCTTGCTGACGTAGCTCAGCACGTGAGACCAATTCTGCAAGTAGACGCTGACCTTGATGACGTGCTTGGCGCTGATGCAGTAGCCCCGGGCCGGGAGTAGCATTTGAGGGCATTGGTGAGGTCCCCGCAGTCCAGGTAGTGGTCGCCCAGATCGTCGTGACCACGCCAGATGCTCTCCTTGATGGAGTTGCCCTTGTCGTTCTTCAGGTCCGTGTCTAGCTTCTCCAGCTTCAGCAGGGCCTTCTTCCGCGTGGCCTCCCAGGCTGTGTCCAGGGTTGGGGGTTCCACGCCACTCTCGGGGATGGCGTCAGGTGCGTTCTGCAGCTCCCTGGTGGCCTCTGAGAGCTTGCGGTGGATCTCCTCATACATGTCGACGTTGAAGGTTCTTTGCACGAAGGAGAGGGCCATCTTCAGGGCCTCCATCCGAAGCTTGGGGCAGTGATCAGCAATGAACTGCAGCCGCTCGATTCGCATCAGGCCGCTGTAGCTGGCTGCATACTGCTCCAGATCCAGGGTGGGGTTCTCCACCACGTAGTTGACATCGGGTGCATTCTGCGGGTCTTCCTGGGGGTCCACGTCGATCTGCATGGGCTCCACGTCCCCCTGTAAGTTAAACACCTGAACCAGCAGCGGCATCTTGCACCCACCCCGCCATGGCGTGCCGTCGTTCCTGGAATTTCTTTTCTTTAAGAATGTTGAATATGGGCCCCCAATCTCTTCTGGCTTTTACGGTTTGGGCTGAGAAGTCTGCTATTAATCTGATGGGCTTTCCTTGTAAGTGACCTGGCCTTTGTCTCTAGCTGCTTTTAACATTTTTTTCTTTCATTTTGACCGTGGAGAATCTGATAATTATGTGCCTTAAGGATGATTTTCTTGGGAAGCATTATAAAACATGAAATGCTTTAGAATTTGCATGTCTTCCTTTTGCAGGGGCCATGCTAATCATCTCTGTGTTCTTCCAATTTAAGTATATGTGCTGCCGAAGACAGCACTGTCTTTTTTCATACAATTTGAGCTCTTCCTTGTTCTTGGTATTATGAGTGATTTTCAGTTGAAACCTAGACATTTTCATACTATGCTATGAGACTCTGGACCTTATTTAAACTATTTTATCTGACTTTCTTTGACATTACTCTGGTATACTGCAGGGGTATACTGCCCCATTATTGACAAATGGAGGTAGAAGTCCAGTTCTCCCATTGAGCCTTTGTTGATACCTGAGTTGAAACAGGTTCTTTTACCACTGGGAGTGGGAATTCTAGCTTCCCAGATGGTCTCCACTGACACAACTGTGGAAAGCCCTGAGTCTTCACTACTGCCTTCTGACACCACCACACTGGGGAGGGGAAGGGCTCCTTACTGTTGCCATGTGGAGGTGCAAGTCCAAGTTTCCCATTTGGTTTTCACTGACATGGTAGAGGTGTGGGGAAAGTCTTGTTCCAGCAGTGGGGATGAAAACCCCAGTTCCCTATTTGTCTTCTCCGATACTATGATGGTGTGGTGTGGTGTGTGGTGTTGAGCTCCCTTGGAACAGCCTCTGATGGCTGGAAATCTAGGCTTCCCACACAGTCTTTGCTGGTGGAGGCAGGACTAGGTCACAGTCTTTTCTTTGGTGCTTAGTGGGAGTAGAGCAAGTAGGTTATTGGCTAAAGTTTTTTGTTTTTCTAGGCTGGCCCTTTCTTGTTCCTTTGGTTACAGAGAGCAAGATTTCATGGGCTTCTTTTTTGTCTGTGCCCGTTAGTGTTCAGGGGTTACTCTTTCCGTCTGCTCTAAGTCTAGAATGTATGAAGTAAAAAGAAAACCCAGGAAACGTACCACCACATTTCTTGGGTCCCAAGATCCATAGCCAGTCTGGATTCTTATCTCCACCTTTCAGAGTCTTCTTATGTTCATTTAATATGTAATGTCCTAGGCTGGGCGTGGTGGCTCACGCCTGTAATCCCAGCACTTTGGGAGGCCAAGGTGGGTGGATCACCTGAGGTCAGGAGTTTGAGACCAGCCTGGCCAACATGGTAAAACCTCATCTCTACTAAAAATAGAAAAATTGGCCTGGCATCATGGCAGGCACCTGTAATTGCAGCTATTTCAGAGGCTGAGGCAGGAGAATTGCTTGAACCTGGGAGGCAGAGGTTGCGGTGAGCTGAGATTGTGCCACTGCACCCCAACCTAGGCAACGGAGCAAGACTCTGTCTCAAAAATAAAAAACGTATATGTATATATAATGTCCAAGGTTTTTAGTTCTACTTAGTGAGAGGAGTAATGAAAAGTATGTTTACCCATCTTGCTGAAAGCAGAAGTTCTCTGGTGTTGAATTTTTATCAGAAGCTTTTCTGAAATCTATTAAGATGATCTTTCTTTTTTGACTTTTTGATGTGTTGATTTGAGCTGTTGTGTTATTGCTCATTGTATTAATCCATTATCATACTACTGTAAAAACTACCTGAGACTGGGTAATTTATAAAGAAAAGAGGTGTAATTGACTCATAGTTCTCCAGGCTGTACGGAAGGCATGGTTGGGAGGCCTCAGGAAGCTTATAATCATGACAGAAGGCAAAGGGGAAGCCAGCACGTCTTACAGGGGAAGTGTTATACACTTCTAAAACAACTAGGTGTCATAAGAACTCATTCACCATCATGAAAACAGCAAGGGAGAAGTCTGCACCTATGATTCAATCACCTCTTACCAGGCCCCTCCTCCAACATATGCATTTTACAATTCAACATGAGATTTGGGTGAGGACCCAGAGTCAAACCATATCACTCATTAACAGATGTTCTAAAATAAATATATAGCATTACAGTTTTTAAAAAGATGTATGTGATAGATTTTTAGAATATTTGTAGGCAAATTAGGTGAACTTTAAAAAAAAAACTTGTATATTTAAAAGTGTAATTGTACTGGGCATGTAATCCTAGCACTATGGGAGGCTGCAATGGGAGGATTGCTTGAGCCGAGGAGTTCAAGACCAGCTTGGACAGCACAGCAAGACTCCATCCTGACAAAACAAAAATTAAAGATTAAAAAGAGGGTAGGCTGGGTGCAGTGACTTATGCTTATAATCCCAGCATGTTGGGAGGCCAAGCTGGGTGGATCACTTGAGATCAGGAGTTTGAGACTAGCCTGGCCAACATGGTGAAACCCCATCTCTACTAAAAATATGAAAAAAAAAAATTAGCTGGGTATGGTGGCAACTTTGGAGGCTGAGCCAGGAAAATTGCTTGAACCTGAGAGGCAGAGGTTGAGAGGTTGCAGTGAGGTGAGGTCAAACCACTGGATTCCAGCCTAGGTGCCAGAGACTCCATCTCAGAGAAAAAATGGTGGGGGAGAGGGGCAGTTATCAGTTGTATACAAAGTAATTTATATAAAACTTTATTCTCTAGCTTTAAAAAATTATTTGCATTTATTTTAAAGAGGATTGCTTATTATTGAATTTTCATTTCCAATATGTCCATATTCTTTTTCTCTTTTTTCCCTATCATTATAAAATTGAATTTAAAATTAAATTGAGAAAAATATTGCCCAGACTATATTAACACTGGTTCATTTTTGTATACATAAGGTCCTTATTAAAATGATAATCTGGTTTTTATAGTTGCTTAAAGAAAAAAGTCCTGGAATTACTGATTCTTTTTTTTCTCTGCCTAATTATCTCTTTAACTGTATATCCATATATCTTTTTTTTTTTAAGACAGGGTCTGTTTCTGTTGCCCAGGCTGGAGTGCAGTGGCACAATCATGGCTCACTGTAGTCTCAGCCTCCTGGGCTGTCTTGATGTTATGAAGCCAAAACTTCTGCTTCAACGTATAAAATTAAATTCCCTAATAAGAGAGATAGATACTCGTGTGTGTAACAATCTACCAAAATGAGGGTTTGTCTCCACCTTGGTATGATAAGTATGTATTATGGACTGTAATTATGGTGCATATTATGGATAGTATGCTAACGAAGGGCACAGCAAAGAATGCATGGGGAGTTTAATTGCAAGTCGTCACTGCAGTTGAGTCCAACCTTTCTGCATAGAGCCATTCATCATGAGTGACAGCCAAGAGAGGAGGAGAAGCAGCAGATTCTTCCAGGGATCACTCTCTCCCCTACTTGCCTCACCCTGTCATTCAGTTTACAGTCCTCGCTGTTGGCTGCAATCATTCCCAGAGGACATATTTATTACCATGAAAAACACTCGAATGACATCAGCAGCAGCACTTACAACTCTGCGCTGTGATCCAATAAATAATGTGTGCTCAGCATGTGGAAGTGGCGAAGCAGCCCTTCATATTGTCAAAAACCAGGCAAGGTTACCAAGCCTTGGCCTTACCTGGGAGATGGTTAGGCATGCAGAATCTCAAGCTCCACCCCAGACCTGCATTTTAACAATATTCCTGGTGATTTGTGTGGACACTGAAGTTTGAAAACCACTCATGTATAGACTTGACTAATACTCAAAGCCATCATCTCTTTAAGACATGATTTAAGACCATCATGTCACAAACAGAATCCAACTAAAGTGAGAAAATAAAGCTTTTCTTGTTTCATCCAAGGGATGAAATAGGAACAAGTTGAATTCACACATTGAATTAACCTATGTGAGTTCATGGTTTCCAAAGCTCATATGCATAAATATCTTTCTGTTCCCTACAAGATGAGCATTATCATTCCTGTTTTCTCTGGAGTAAACTGATGTTCGGAAAAATGAACTGATTCTCCCAAGGCGAAACAGTCAGTAAATGGAAATAAGATGGGCAGGACGAATCCTTCCCCACCCCACAACCCTCCAACCCCACTGTCTTCTATCTCCTCACAACGTTTTACAGCTCTAAAAAACTCTTCTTTCCTTCTTTCATTCCTTCCTTTTCTCTCTTTCTCTTTCTGTTTTAGAGGATGAAACATAGCTAGTCAAGGCAGATTTTTTTTCCTTTTATGACTGAATCCCACATTTATTTGATGATGTGCAGCTCTAAACAGGAGATCGATTTTTGATGATTCTTTGCAAATCATTTATTTGAACGTACCTGAAAGGCCTCCGCTTCTGCATGATGTTCATTACCAAAATCTGGTTAATGTTGTAGAGTTATAAATTATATATAAATTACATATAGATAGATGTAGATAGATAGTATATATAGATAAATTCTATCTATATAAGTTATATATAGTCAGATATAAATTATATCTGCATATAATTTATATAGACAGAAATTAAGTGCATATTTGGATCAGCTGAATGAGTCACAGCCTTGTAGCAATCAGTAAAGCAATCCCCAATGAAGGGATACCACTCAGCTCTGGCTTATTTCTTAAATATTTATTGATGTTTATGAATATTTTTGCCCCTAGAAAGAAGAAAATTTTATATAATTTTGGGAGAATAAATAAATTGTGAGAATTTGAGATGAATGGGGGATACATGCAGGGGTTTCCAAAACCCGTTTTAAAAAAGATACGCAAAGAAGTAGAAAATAAGTGTGTGAGGGGGTGGGGATAGGAGGAGCCCACTCTGTGGTTATGCATGTGCACAAACGTCATTTGATCCTAAGACCTACATAAAAATCTCTCCTTGGAGCCTTTTAGGACAGATCCTATGTGCTTTAGCTAATATATTTGCAGAATCTGTGGAAAACTGACAAAAACAGCACTGAGTGGATTATACTCCTGAAAACAA